CTCTTCTGAATTAACTATCACCTTGTATCCAGATATCCCATCAAGATTTCTGCAAAGTGACAGAAAGGTATCATTGAAAACTTCCCTAAACCTCATAAGAGAGAGAGAGAGAGAGAGAGGTCATGTAGGTGTATATATGCGTGTAGGTGTATATATGACACGCATCAAATGACACATGTTTGTGGGGCCAATCTGTAGAAGAATTAAGAGCTGATCTTGGTCTTACCATCAAAAAATCATCTTCGCCACAAATCAGCTCATCTCATAAGGAGATTTCTACCCTCATGGAAAATTGTTTGCAACTTGCTTTTAATCTAACAGTCCAATGTTCTCGATTTGGCAACACACTCTTAACAAGGTTGCCAATGTCCACAGAACCAATACTTGGTAATGATCTTCTCATCTTCATGGTGGGGAGATAATATCCACAAAATCAGCCCTTACTATCCTCCATGACAAACATTTGCCATTTACTGCGAAAACTTGTACTGCCAAGTGTCAAAATAGTCTGACCCAATATTCTTGACAAAATATTTTCATAGGAAAATACAAGTGTATGAATGATGGCAATATATATAATAATCTGAGAGAAAACGAAATAAGAAGGGCAGCAGTAGAACTAAGCACTTAACAAAGAAAGAGCTGTCAGACCTCTGGTTTGATTCTGTCTCGATCCCCCGCAAAAGCACAAAGGCTCCCCGACTATAATCATTATCATCTTGAATTATAAGGGTTATAACAGTGATGGCATCAAAACGAGGATCAGGTCGGAGATCTCCTCTTGATTCTGCTTGGACCTATAATTACAGTTAGATCATAGTCAATATATAGTTGACAAAGTAAACATACTCCAGGAAAAACAACTAGCCCTTTTAAAGCAGCACAGATAAACTCAGTTAGTCCAAAAAGAAAAATATAGGTATGATGTCCTACATCAGAAACAATAACAGTCCCATTGCAAATAAGAGTAAAAAGAAAGTGAAATGCTCAAGTATCCTGTCCACAATCATCAGGAAAGTGAAACATGGCTACCTCTATACTCATCAAAGTTAGTTGTTGTCCATCACCAGCACTTGCAGAATCTCTGAATCCAATTTGACTAAGTGGGGTTAGCTTTGACCGCACATCGGGTCCGGAAATCTGGGATACATCTCGCCAGTTATCATTACACTTACCCCCTTTCAGTTTGGTACCTTCACAGTGGAGTTTGGAGACCTCATAAATATTATTTTTTGCCTTAAGGTTCCTACCATGTTTTTCAGTCACTTGATCAGAAGAACACTCCAAAAAAGGTACAGAGACAGATTTGGATAAGGTCCCATGATTAACATCAACCAAAACCTCTTTCAAATTCAGCATATCATTCTCACCAGTCAAAACAGCACGTACTTCTAAGGGCTTAGATGATGTTTCACAATCATTACGACTATTCTTCTTCAAAAACTCCAAACTATTGCCACTACTTGGAGAAGGTAAATCCGGCAGTCTTGAGCAGATGCTCTCATTTGACGCACCTATAAATGCATGAGCTAAAAATTAGATTACAATCACATGAACTGCCTACATCAAATTCCTAAAAGAATGTTCATACTTCATACCTGTAGCATCACGTCTTGGTGGATGGCGAAATAGCCATTCACGAACACAATCCACAGATGGTGGTGAGTATTTAGTTGTCAGTAAGTATAAGACAGAACCGTCATTTTGATAGTGGGTAGGGATCCCTAAACCAACCGCATGGAATGATATGACACCTTCTTTATCTCTATATGACTTGTGCTCTTCTTCCCCATCTTGGACATTAACAGGGAAAAAAAGAGCTCCATCAGCATCACTTCCTTTGACTGCGAAATGACCAAAAATGCACTGGTCAGTCAAAATACAACATGATCACACAAGTTCAATCTATTGGAAGCGCATGAGCACTCCATAATTTAAAATTACAAAAATAAGATGATACCAATCTTTAAAACAATCTAAAGTGAAAACACTAAATGTCACATGAGACCTCCTGTGTCAAGCACATACTATAAATGAATAAAAAACAACAATTAAACAAACTATGAACAACTTTGATAAGTAAAACTAAGGCAATTTGAAATTAAATATAAAATCTATATTAAAAATAGTACTTAAGAACCTGAAAATACATACTCGTCTTACCTAATCCTAGCAGTGTTACCTATATAAGTAAATAATAAAATGAAACTAAGAAAAACAGATATTATTACGCAATAAGATAGATTTTTCCAAGAGAAGTACAATAACTTTTCTAACATTAATCGGTAACATGATACAACACTAAAACAGAACCTTCAACTCCAATTGACAATAACTATGTTTTAAGGAACAGAGACACAAGACAAGCATTTTCTCTAAAACTCAAGGGACTTGCTTCCACCACATTTCAGAGTCTAATTGCTTAAAAATGCCCACACTCATGTAACAAGAAAACCCCGAATTGCTTTTCCAAATACACAACAATTTAAACAAGACGGGTGCATAAATTTAAAATTGCTCCAAGAATCCAAGTAGAAGAACATGAATTCCACCCCTGTAAGATAAATACATAAATAAAGTAGGTCACAGTGTAAAGAATCCAAAAACTATCACGTACAGTCCAATGGATTGGAGTTGCAACTCAGCACTTCTTCAGAAGTCTCCATATCTGCAACAAAAGTTTGACCGTGCCCAACAGGTGCGAATGAAGCATCTTCAAATGTCCACTCCATCGTGGGGGGTTTCTTGCTGAAAGACATCTCAATAGATTTGGTATGCATTCCTTCAGTGGTGGCTAAAGATAGTGAAGGAGATGATAAACCAGTTTGAATGTTCGGTTGTATAGTAAAATGCTCACTTGGTGGTGCATCTGCATTTATACCAGCATTTGTACTTCCATAACAATCAGAACATACTTCAGGCAGTAAATTCACAGCAGTGTGACCCTTCTGGCCCTTTTCAACAAAAGATGTCAAACATCTTGAGACCTCAGATCTTTCTGTAATGTTACCATCCAGTTTTCCTGTATCACTTGTAGTGTTTTTGTTCAAAGACAAGATAAACTTTGGCACTTCCTTTGTTTCAGAGTGCAACAAAGAAACATCTTCCAAAACGAAGCTACGAGTTCTAGAAAAAGGCTTAATATCATCTTCTCGTTTATGAGAAGTAAAATGCTCATTTTTTGAAGTATTGCCATGCAATGGGCTATCATTGCAAGACATTAAGGGTTTAATTCCAAAAACCTTAGGACATTCCACCTGTGTACACACAGCCAGACTTGAACTCCTCTCATAAGCTGTTGCCTCTTGATCAGAAAATAATGTCTCCCCTAATAAGCTTTTGGATAAGACGCCTTCCATATCGCTATTCTTCGCGTTAAACTCCAACCGCTTTGGACTGAGAGACGTCTCTTCTTCTTCTATCCCCAGATGAGTGTCCTTGACTTTACATGTTCCAACTTCAGATGACTCAACTCGACGGCACCTCTTTCTTCTCATTAAGTCTCTCATAGAACTTCCAGCTAATTCCTTCTGCTCCTTCAAACCACAATTCTTTGCATTGGCATCATTCATAAAATGGTCGAAAATTTTATTATCTTTTTTTCCAGATGAGCTAGAAAGGAGGGAACTTTTCATCTCCTTGGAGACATCAGTTGAGTTACAACCGGAGGACTCTGAATCATCACTAACTACGGGCTGGGCGGAAATCGGTAAAGAACCCCGTAGTTTACTGTGCTTTCTTTTTTCACTACTGGGACCTAAGTCTTCCCCTTCCAATGCCCGGTGTGAAGATCTTCCCATTTCGCTGGTCATGTCTACTTCAGATAAATTACCAACAGAGCCTGTGATTAGATCATCGCATGAGCCATCTACTTGGGGAATTATAGTCTCAGATGGCATTTGGGTTGAAGAATTGTCAGAAATGGAATTTACAGCTCCTTCGTCAGCTACAGAAGACTTTGTGTCCACAACAGAATCAAGAATATCTTGGCATTCCTGTTGTGATACACACTCGTAATCCAGATTAGCCCTTTCCAAAATTTTCTCAATAGCTATTTTAGGCAACAAAGGAGACAAGATCACATCATAATCAAGTTCATCGTCTGTAATCAATTCCTCTGCTCCTTGAGAAGAGGCAAGCCACTTTAAAAGCCCAAGAGCCTCTGTATCTATTCCCTGCAAAACTATAAATAGTATCAGAACCAAAACATTACATGACTATCCAAGCAAATGAACCACTCAATGAGCCAAAGAGCTTCATAGGATACATGAAAAATAGAGGAAGACCAGTAAGTTCTACCAAGATGATAAAACTTATAAATTTATTCACATAAACCTCGAGATTGCACCTCATAGGATACACCAATGCTTGGCGAGAAATAACAGAATCAACAATCAAGAGAAAATCATATTGCATCCAATAATTATATATACAAAGGGTTTTTCTGTATCAAGTGTCCCAAAATTCATATCAGTGTTTTCCAGCTATGTTTTGGACATTATTAAGTATTGGAATGGGTCATTCTTGACATCAAAGCGCCTATCTAGTGTTCCATTAATGGTGACTAAATCGTTCTAAGATTTTGTCTGCATAGGATTCTTTGAAATGACAAGGGAGATTTATGCTTGCATTGCATTCTCTTAAGAGAGCCACTACCCTATTCACAGAACTTTACCCTTACATTCTTCTTGTCAGTCTTATACACACAAGAGCATGCACACCCACAGATCCAAAAAAACAAATTTGTCTTTCAGTAGGGATTTGTCACACCACCTACCACCTAGAATGCTACTTCATTTCAATTCAAAAACTCTTAACAATGCCTTTTAGAGCACTACTCCAACTGAACAATCTCTCAGCCTCACCACTACAGACAAGAATTGAGCCTCGGTAAGAATGACCCTAAGTGACATATTTAGACGCTTCACTCCAAACCTTTTGCCCACAAGTGCAACAATCGTCATTCAAATTTATTTATTTACACTTCTTAGAAAAAGAAAGTGCTCAGATAAATGGGTATGAGTCAAGAATCAGTACAGACTGAAAAATCAATCTCAGAGTGGTGCACGGCTATCTCATCTTCATAGCACTTCCATCAACATCCGTTATCAGAACATAAAATAATAAAATGTAATACGTAAAGGGTGAATACCAAAGTCAATAGACATACACGCTGCTATCTCTATGTATTCTGTATCAGTAGGAGAACAGAAAGAAACTAAACTTCCAATACTTCAAAAAATACAAGGATTGGATACCATCATGACATCAATTATCACCTACTTTTTACAGGTAGCTTGGTAGTACACAGTTGAGCAAGGGACATCCAATCAAGAAAAACAATGTTAACAATTTTCTACCTCGCAAAGCTACCACCGGAAGGCAAGCCTATAAGTGAAGAAATAATGAAATATAGAAATGCAAAAACATTGAGGACTACCTTTAAGGCTGAATTTTCAAGCTTTTCAAATGATAACACCTCTTCGTTGGCTGCTACTATTTCCACATAACTATGACTTGACTCAGACGGTACAGCTTCATCATTCTGTTTGGAAAAAGATCCTTGTAATGACCCAGATCCACTTCTATTTCTTTCTTCGCAACACTGGAAAGAACCTTCATTAGAACAGTTAGGATTCACATATTCCCCTGAGTCACACAGGCTGCCCACATCAGCTAGAGATCTTATAGACTGCAAGAATCTTTCAGCCTCCTTTGTCGGAGTATTTTGAGAAGATGATTGGTTCTCAGCAACCCTGAACATATCCATGAGTGCATCCTCGTATTCAGGTCCATGTGAAAGCATTTTAAGTACATGTTCAGGCAAAGGTTTGCTAGGTTCAGAATATGTAACCGCCTCGTGCATACCAGTTCTTTCATACTCCTCCTACACAAATAAACAACTTAAATTAAAGAGGAAACCTTACAGAAAATACCTCCTCTAAAATATAAAAAAAGGCACTGAATAAAGCAGACTGCAGACCTGCCAAATTGGTACAAGCGACTGAACCATTCTCACATCTGATCGAGTCTGTGAAAGGGATGAATACATCTTAAACTGCTGATTTACAATCTCTGCAAAGCAAACAACAATTAAATATGTGAAATAGACCTCACAAATAAAGGATGTAAAGGTATTTACTAGAAAACTCATGAATCCTAAGCACCTTCCACAATAGCATCTGCCTCAAGTTCACAAGTACTTTGACGTCTTATGAGGCAACTGACCTTATCTGGTGAACTATCTGTCTCATTGGGAGGCGGCCACATCCATCCACTGGGGACAGTGACGGATGTCCAAATCGGCGAACCTGGACCAGAATGAGAACTTGAATCTGCCTAAGGAAAAACTTCACAGCATCAAATCAAAATTCACTTGCCATTGATAATCAAATAATTATGATTATGTCAACACATAAAACAAATATCAAGTCACTTAAGGTTTTGCTCAAAAATATAACCTGATCATTAGCAGAAGTGTGAGCCAAATTCTCAACCGCTCTTTGGATGAGTCTATCAAAGAGTGGATAACGGAATTTCACCTTTGATACATGCAGATGACCCATTCCGTATAAGTTATAGTCAATCTAAAAAATCAACGCCGCAAAAAAAAAAAAAAGAGAAACATTTAGGACCAAATGCAAACATCATAAAACGAAGGGGGGAGGGGGAGAGTCATGAAAATTAGAACATGCAAAATGATTGTAGGATGCAGATAGCTCAGAGAGGATTTAAAATGGAGAACAAAGATCTTTATTGCCCATCCTTCTTTACTTTCCATTAAATTTATACTACAAGAATATACTTAATAGTTAATACTATGGTTTGAAGAAAGAAAAATAGATCAACTAACAGGAATGAAGATGTGGCCGATAAAGATACTTCATTGGCCCCATAAAGAAAACATACAAACATGTAACCCACTTGGGGACTTAAGGACTTTCTTCAACAAGAACTAGTTGAAGATAAGACTAGCATGGGACTATGATTGCGTGTAGCAATAAGTTTCTTATTTATTTCAACTACAGTATCGCAAATTCCTTTGGTAAATTGCCTAAATAACGATTTACTAGAATCAATTTTATGGAGTTACAACAGTCCATTATTGCTAGTGCATAAATCCCAGATGGAAGGACCAGATACAAGGTAGGAAACGCCTTATTAAGAGATCAGAAGTTTTTTATTACTAGAGAGTGTACAAATCCAGAAATCCCATACCAACCCCCGAAAAGCATGAACCAGGAATAAAAACCTCATTCACCTCATACATAATACTCCAAACAATAATTATCAAATCAGCACCGTCCTGCAATACTTACTAAAAATTGGAGAAGATAAGGTATATGTGATTCGTGAGGCTGGAAGCTTCTATCTAAAACAGCACCATCCTGCAAAAGAGCACTTCATCCTCCAGTTACAACTTACAAGGAACAAAATTGCAGATTAATTA